GACAACCATAGATATAGGGATTTGGGTTGGAGAAGATGAACAGAGTTAGAGGTATGAAGATGAACCCTAACTCAGGGATGAACTCATGGATGAAGCAGAAACACATACACACACAAAGCAGATCTTGCAATCGCACACACAATATGGTAGAAAAGATTGTGGAGATGGAAYTGTATATTGGGTGGTTGGGTATGCCTGTGATTGAGGTGGTAAGCGGTTAGGCCTACTGGCRATGGAGGCATCGGGAGTTAGAGTTGTTGAGAAGTGGCCGGAGTTGGAGCTGTGGGTTCCATTCCAAATCTTTATATATATATAAGTAATTAAAAAAAATAAAGAAAATCGTTAGTTAATGTTAATTACATATTTGGTTCCTATGGACTGAAAATATGGTAACAATATTCATTAACCAAGATGTTCGTCATTTAACGGATTTTTATAACAGGGTTAATTTGAGGAACAAAAAGGTTATGGAAATGCAAACCGTTAGGACRAAAAAAAGTAGTTTCTGAACCACATGAAACAATATCGTTATAAACACCAAACCACAGGGACGAAAATCGTAGCTTACTATTATATATTTTATTTTTAAGTAAATAGTAAGAGTGAATTATGGATTTGGTTCCTATGGTACGCCAAAAGTTATGGATAACGTCCCTAAAGTCGATTAATTATGGATTTGATCCCTTTGGTTGTCATTTTCTTATGATTAAAGTCTCTGAGCCAAACGACCATCCATAGTCCCGTTAACTCAAGGGCAAAATTGCCAATCTGTATTTCTTTTTGTCCTTTTGTACATTAATATGAAAATTCGTTTTATATTAAGAARATCGTCGGTGGAGATGTCTTTAATGGAGTGAGGTCGGTGACGTGTGCTAATCACCGGTTGGATGCTTGGTTTCTTTATTTATGAATATATAAACAAATAAATAAATATTAAATTATACTTATTTATCTTTATCTAATATTTTTTTATARGAAAAATGATAAAATAAGGGAACTTTGGTCTTTTTATCTATAACTTAACTGGGTTAACAGAGTCCATTAGYGAGAAAAACACTAGCCATGAATAAATAACAACCACAAGGACCAGATCCATAATTAATCGAGTTTAGGGACGTTAGCCATTATTTTTGACATACCATAGGGACCWCATCCATAATTCACTCTAGATAAAATAACATATAAAACTATGTAATTTTTATAAGAATATATTTTRTTTCGTTTATACCAACAAATAGATCGTCTATTAAATTAGCCACCCARTGTGAAGTTTYCAAACACCAACATTGGTGTAATGTCTTGTTCGTTACTGATAGTCAGACAAACCTTAAGCGGTTCTCATAAGACATGAATTGACAATCATTAATGAGCAAACTCAACTTTTTACTAGTTGAACTACCCTTAGTGTTAACACTAGTAATCTTGACAACACCTAATGCACCCTTCAACATTCTTGATTATAAACTGCTCACCGTTTCCTGTGACAAGGGAGGTGAATGGTTAAGTAAACTCATCAGAGCCATAGCAAAAGCGAGTCTTCATAGGGCAATTGTCACTGCTTATGGACCCGAATCCGAGCCAAAAGATCAAAATTATCATATTTGTATATATGTCCAATTGTTTCATACTCCAAAAATGCACATAAAWTGTATTCTTCGAGGACCTAGTAAGAAGTTTTTAGCCGTCTGATAGTGGTTTATCTTTGACATCCAAACCAGATCGTGTAAACACCATTAGATAAAGACCAATATCATCATTTGATGTTAGAACTAACACCATTAAGAGTTTTTGAAAAAAAAAATATCAGATAAAAAATAATTTCAATTAATATTTATTGACTTGAAATATAAAAAAGAAAAGTCATTTAATTAACATGGGCCCTATAATTGATCCCAAATTCAAATGGGTGGAAAGGTCCACTTTTTAAGACACAACTACAAGGGCCATATCTTTGTCAAGCCTCAATTGGATTTGGACCAAGTATTTTTCAAGTTGTTATAAGTCGATTACACATCCACAATTTGGACCAATTCCAAATATCAAAAGGGGGATTCAGAATGGCTACTTGCCAAAAAGAAAATTTGTATTATGAATTGTTAGGGGTAAAAAGTGAGATTATTATAAATTGTTCCGTGTCAAGAGTATTATGGGAAGGGGGAAAAAACTCAAGTATGCATGACGTGCTAAATAGTTGGCTTGAGAGTTTAGTATTCGTGAGCAGCCCAATCCAAAATCAGTTATAATTACCATATTGTGGCAGTCAGACTTGAACTATCGTTCGTTTGTGCAAGTATATACCCTTGAAACCAACATATTAGGTGGCGTTTAGTTTGTTGGAATTTGAAAAAATTGGAATGGTCAATTTCATTCATATGTTTGCTTCATTCTTTGAGTTCCGGTAAGGAAAATTGAATTCCACATATCATTGAATTCAAACAAACACACATCTCAACCAGGTCTCTTCTAAATTATGAAATCGCTTAAAAAACCCACCTCCATAACCCCCCTTTTCTTCACTTTCTTCTTCTTTTTCAAGCAATCTCTATGTTTGGATCCAAATTATGAAGCTTGTGTCCTCCATAGCTGCAGTGAAAATGGGCCGACCATTACTTATCCATTTTTCATCAAAGGTTTACAAAATTCCACTTGTGCCTACCCTGGATTAGAACTCCATTGCAAGCTTGGTTTCCCAGTTCTTAAGATCTCAGAAAGCGAATTCAGGGTGGAAGAAATTGATTATGAAAGAAGTTATCTCCGACTTCAGACCACCGCGATTTCGTGGAATCAGACTATGGGGCTGTTTGGCAGTTGCTGAATGGTTTAGTGCAGAATGGTTAAGTGGTCAGAATGGTTAAGAGGACCAGAATGGTTAAGTACTGAATGAAATAATGTTGTTTGGTAATTGTTATCTGAATGACAGTAAATTACCATTTTAACCTTCATTCATATTAGGGATGCCACTTCAACCTTAAACACTTGTATGACCTAAATTAACAACAAACAGAGCATAAAGACTCAAAACTCAATTTCTGATATTTACACAATTCTTCAAATCGAATGTCTGATAAAGATTCTAGAACAGATTCTGTGAGCGATTTATCACAGTGAATGAAGAACAAAATCGATTACTAGAACAGATTCTGTGAGCGATTTATCACAGTGAATGAAGAACAAAATCGATTACTAGAACAGATTCTGTGAGCAATTTATCACAGTGAATGAAGAACAAAATCGATTACACCCACATACCATCGATTCTTGAGCGATGAAGCTTGAATCAAACACAGATGAGCGACTTAGAAAGAGCCTTGTTGAGCGATGAAGACAAAATCGAATGAGCCTTGTTGAGCGATGAAAACAAAATCGTACAGGGTGTTGAGCGATATAGAAAGAAATCGCCTGTGCCTTTGTCCGATAGACTGGAAGAGAGGGGTTGGGAAGAAGGCGACACAGCAGCAACTCGGGAGAGGCAGCAACTCATGGGAGGAAGCGAGATCGACTGGAAGGAGGAAGAAGGGTGGGAGGCATGGGAGGAGACGAGATCGATTGGAAGGAGGCGTGGGAGCAGCGGGCTGTTGAGGAGAGGGCAAAAATGGAAGAAGACCCCTCTGAATCGTTGAGGGGAGCCCTAGCCCCTAAATGGTTAAGAGCCTTTTGTAACCATTAAGAGGTTCTTTTTTTGTTGCCAAACAACCCTTGCCTCTTACCGATTAAGAGGTTGGCTCCTAATGTCACCATTAAGAGCCAAACAAACAGCCCCTATATCTTGCCCCTCGGATATCATGAACTTAACGCTTGACCCTAACCGGTTTTTGATTGACGACGATACGACCACGAAACTCGTATTCATTTCGAATTGCTTGAATAACGCGAGTGCGAGTCTATAGAGGTATAGGATACAGTCATGTCAGACAAGTGTGGAGCTGGTCATGCTAGCGAACGATACGAATTTGAGAACTGCAACGGAGACTTGCGGCAACGGTAGTGGGATTGTGATGACGCCGGTGGAATTGACCGGCCAAGAAGGGAGGATTGACGCTACGAATTATGCAGAGGTGCTGGAAAGGGGGTTCGTGATGCGGTGGCGTGAGGCGGACTGTAGTATCTGTCGGGATAGTGGTGGGAGGTGTGGGTTCGATACGCCGACGTTCCAATTTCGTTGTTTTTGCCCCGATAGACCCCATATGGTGCGTTGCAGATCTGGTAAGAACCTTCCTCTTTGGTCTATTCACATATGATTAATGCATCAACCACTTGTAATTTCTGTCTTACTACTGCTATATTTCTTATTACTTTCCACTTTTAGAATCTCTCTCTGTAGAGAGGGGGAAGTTATTTTAGGAAACTAAAATTGATTAGAAACCTCGCCACTAACGTCATGTAACGTGTTCCGTTTTGAGATATACATGGAAGGAGGTATTGTTCATCAGTAATCACAAATTCATTATAATGAATAATGCATGCATATTCTTGATAGATATACCGTATGTCTCGCTTTTATCTAAATGAGTCAAGTCTGTCAGCAGGTTATTCGAGCTCGGTTCGAAAAAATAATATCAAGCTCGAGCTCGATTAACTACTTCAAAGTCGGGCTTGCGCTCGAGCTTGTAAATTTTTTTAATGTTCGAGCTTGAGCTTAGCTCGATGCTTGTTTATCACCTCAAATTTGAGATCGATTCACTCGCTTGTTTACTCAAGCTGGTCCATTTTGGAGCAATATACTTGTTGATTTATTCTAAAAGTTACTGCTGATATTAAGAATTATCTTTTGCAGAAATACGAAGAAACACTGCGATGAAATATGCACTAGGTAATATGATTCGATAATATCATAATTTTACCTACATGTACCGTGATTATAACGGTCGAAATCTTTTTCGACTGCAAACCTTTAAACCGATCTCATTCATTGTTTGCAGCAGCTCTTGGCATTGGGACCGTAATTATCTTGATCTTGCTGATCTTTTGCTTCAGATACAAGATCTTCTCTAGATATCACACAAAAATGTATACCAATMTGGAAATCTTCATAAAGAATCATGAAGCTCTTGCTCCAAAAAGGTACTCTTATTCAGATTTGAAAAAGATGACTGAATCCTTCAAAGTCAAAATAGGCCAAGGAGGTTATGGTTTTGTGTACCAAGGAGCCTTACACAATGGTAACTTAGTTGCTGTCAAAATTCTGAACGAATTAAACGGAAATGGACAAGATTTAGTTAATGAACTCGCGAGCATTAGCAAGACATCTCATGTTAACATAGTAAGTCTATTGGGATTCTGTTTTGAGGGCCGTCATCGAGCTTTGATCTATGAGTACATGCCTAACGGATCCCTAGAGAAATTCGTTTATGATCGAGGTTCAGCAATAGGTAGCCAACTAGAATGGGAGAAACTATACGAAATTGTAGTTGGCATTGGTCGAGGATTAGAGTACTTGCATCACGGTTGTAACACACAAATTCTACATTTTGACATAAAACCACATAATATTCTCCTAGATAAAGATTTTTGTCCTAAGATATCTGATTTTGGGCTCGCTAAGCTATGTCCTGAAAAAAGAAGTGTCATTTCTATGTCGGGTATGAGAGGGACTCCGGGGTATATTGCACCGGAAGTATTTTCTAGAAACTTTGGAGGGGTTTCTCACAAGTCGGATGTGTACAGTTACGGGATGATGGTATTAGAAATGGTKGGAGGGCGAAGGGATGTTGTGGTTGAAGTTAATGACACTAGCAACATGTTCTTCTCCCATTGGGTATATAAACAACTTGTGTCGAACAAAAATCTTGGATTGAGCGGGATTTTGAACGAGGAGGATAA